AAAGGAGTGCTGCCACATCAACTGAGGGTTTGGTTTGGACAGGCAGTCTATCATTTAAAAAAAAAAAAAATTTTTTTTTCAAGTTTTTCAATATTTTCTGGTCAGATTTATTAACGCGCTCTTTAAAACAACAGTTTATGGGAAAAACGTTGTGACTACCATGCAAGACTATATATATATATATATATATATATATATATATATATATATATATATATATATATATATATATATATATATATATATTATATATATATATATATATATATATATATATATATATATATATATATATATATATATATATATATATATATATATATATATATATATATATATATATATATATATATATATATATATATATATATATATATATATATATATATATATATATATATAAAGAAATCGTTAACAAAGTATAATAAAAACCCACAAATGTATACAAATACAAATATACAAAAAAAATATACAAATATAAAAAAAAAAGTATTGTAACGAGTCATCATTATTTAAAGAATTCGGGAAACTTGCAGAAGACCGATGGTCTTGTCATCAAGAAACCACTCTAAATTATTACATATATTTGAATATTATCTTATACCAGCGCTGGCCAAACGTTTTGTCACAAGAGCCGCATTTATATACTTACGTGAGCCGAAGAGCCGCAACAACTTCATGTTTGTTTTTTTATATAAGAAACTTTTATTCTCTTTCTTTTGATTATCTGAATTTTAAGAGACTTTCGTACTAGATAAGTAAAAAAACTACCCAAAAAATAAGAAATTTCTAGTACTAGCCCATTTTCTTGGTTTCATATAAAAACAACAATTTGTAATTCACTATTTAAAATCATTTTTTAAAGAAATATTTTTAGAAAATACAAATTATTTAGGAAATTCCATATGCTCCTAAGGGGTAGAAATAATTGTTGTATCACTATTCAACAATATCATTTTAATATGAAATTTAGATATTTCTTGGATACAAAATATCATTTTTTAAAGATTTAAGTAAAATATGTATACAATTGAATTTAGTTAATTGTTTTAAAACACTCAATAAATTTTTTAAAGAAAAAACTATTCCTTTAAAGATTTTGTTTACAATGCCATTATATCTGATTTATTTTATAAAATTCCCTTCAGACTAAAAAATCATTTCTATAGTTTTCGACAATCACATGATCACACTGATTTTGCACAGCACACGATTAGGTGCTGTGCAACACACTGGCCATGTGCTGTGCAACACACTGATCTTTTTTATGATAGATTTTTGCACAAGCGCATGCTGATCATAAACTTTTTTTTGATTAACAAAATTATAACAATGCTTATATCAATGAAATAATAATTAAAAAACCAACACTAAAATTAGATTATTTTACTTGATTTTTACAATCAAGAAATAACTTTTTCATCATTTTATCAATTTTTTACTTTGATCAAACTAATACTCATAACTTTACTGGTAAGTTTCTTAAAATCTGGTTTCAAACTTGTAGTGGCTGTTCTAAGTAATTCAGACAAATGCTCGTTGGTTAGATTTGCACGATACTTTGATTTGACAAATTTCATAGTAGAGAATAAAGATTCACATGTATACGTTGAACCAAAAATTGAAATGAATTTTATGGCAATCTTTTTAAGTTGAGGATACTTAACCTCGGGAACTATCTTCCAAAATTCCATAAAAGTTATTGTTTTATGCAGCATAAGTAGATTTTGATCTTCTTGGAGATCTAGTAGTTCCATTTCAAATTGAGATATATCTTCAAGCATTTTTTCAGGAATTGGACAGCCATTACTAATAATATTAATTAAAAAAGGATTTACTATAAATCCTAAAGAAGATTTTAGTTCATGCAAATCTTTAAACCTTTTTTGAAAGTCTTTTTGTAAATCCTTTAGTTTGTCCAAGTATGATTCAATCTTATCGTCATCATACTGAATTGAAGGATTAGAAGTAATCATCTTCTTCATTTGAGGAAAATGATTAAATTTTTTCAAGCTAAGATCTTTCTGAAAAAGAATAATTTTTTTTTGAAAACTAAATATCGTTTGTGCAAGATCAGATATATTTTTTTCTTTTCCCTGAAGAAACAAATTCAGACTTTTTAAATGTTGCATTATATCAGTCAAAAATAAAAGATCTTGCACAAAATTTATATCGTCTAGGATTTCAAATGTCTTTTCTTTTTCAATCAAAAAACATTTAATTGGCTCTAATAGTTCTACAAATCTATAAAAAACGTCACTACTTGAAAGCCATCTTACAGAACAGAAAAATGACACGTCACTTGGCTCGTCAGCAAGATCCAATTCATTTATAAAGTTTCTAAACTGTCTGTGATTTTTTGCATTTGCTCGAATATAATTTACAATCTTTAAAACAGATTTAAAAACAATTGGAAAGTTAAAATGTTTTGCAGCTAAATGTTCTCGATGAACAACACAATGAATTGGGATAAATTCTGGATACTTAGGGTCACTTTTTAATAAGCCTATAAGTCCTAAATGTTTTCCAGCCATTGCTGATGCACCATCTGTAGCAACACTAACAAGCTTGTTGATAGGTACATTAGCTTTAAGCAGAGCTTTGTCAAGGGCTTCCTTGATATCAACTCCACGAGTTGTGTCTTTCAACTCAACTAAATCTAGTAACTCTTCTTTTACAATTACGTCTGAAGTCACATATCTAACGAATACAGCCATTTGAGGCTTGTCTTGAATATCTGTTGATTCATCTACAGCTAAACTAAATGCTTCACAGTTTTTTAAATCGTTTAGTAATTGCTGTTCAACATCAATACTAATCTCAGATATTCTTCTTTCGGTTGTATGTCGAGAAATAGGAATTTGTGATACTAATCTTTGGATTTTGCTATTACTAGGATCTAAAACCGACAGGACATCTGAAATGTTTTGCTTTACAAATTCTCCATCGGTATAAGGATGTTTACCTCTGGCAATATTCCATGCTATAACAAAACTTGCTTCTGTTGTATTAATTGATTCTTGGCTGTAAGATGAAATATTTAGTTGTTGATTTTTATTTTTCGTTTTGAGCAATTCAATTTTATTCTTTCTGTAATTTGAACATAACGGATATTCTTCAGAAAATTGTTTATGTTTTGTTTCATAATGACGTTTAACATTGCATGTCTTGTTATGAGCAAGTTCTATATTGCAAATTAAACACATAGATTTATTGTTTCTTTCAATAAATGCATATTTTTCTGTCCAATCATTATGAAATATTCTGTTTTCGTATTTAATTTTTCTTTTCCGCCTTATTTTGCGAAGCAAACTAGTGTTAACTTTTACTTTATCCATTTTTGCAAGTTTTAAGACAATAAGAATGATGGAAATAATTATATGGAAATATATTAGCATATAACAATTTGGAAAAAAGCCGTATGCGGCTCGCGAGCCGCCTTAACATTCCAAGAGCCGCATGCGGCTCGCGAGCCGCCATTTGGCCATCCCTGTCTTATACTATTAATTATCAACTAGATAATGTCCTCAGTTCAAAATCAGTTACTTAAACAAACATTTTACTTGGATACACATTAATGTTGATACATGATTTACTATAATGGGTACATACATAAATAAACTTAAAACTGTAGGCAGAATTTTCCAATCTGTTCTCCCTTTTTTTGTATTTATAAATAATAGTAAGTTTTTTGTAGTTTATATTGGTTTTACGGTTTTTTTTTTCATTTTTTAGTGCTTAAAGCTATATGTGTTGATGAGATTTTTCTGTTTTAATTCAGTTTATTCGATTTTTAAAATTTAATATTTTTGGATATTACTTTGTTGTATAGAAAAGGAACACGATATGAAGTAGAGAAGCAAGAAAGATTTTATTTATTTAAATGGTAATTAAATTTCCTTCTCCTCTTGTGTGATATTTATTTTTGTTTCAATGCACTTGGTGTAAAAAACATCTTTCCTATTCGTCGATCTCATTTACACGTGATGAAGATCAAGTAATTACTTTGTTTCCTATTAAAAAATAAAGTAAAAATGACACTTGAAAAATTAATGAAGAAAAACAGTTCCAACTAAATCATGAACTAAATCCAAAGTTTGGAAATTACACTAGGAAAAGGAGCAATTGAATTAAAAAGTGGCGATTCGTTTACAAAAATGAAACAAGAAAATAATCAAGAAAATTTGGGAAAATTAATACAGTAATTAGCTTTTCCCTTCGTATATTAAATCATAAAAAACTGTGGTGAAGAATTTTTTTATACGAAATATAACAACAGATTTGTGGCATGATTTAACAAGTTATTTAGTTAACTCTAAATATAACTAATGAAATGAAAAACAAAACTAAAAATTGTGGGATATATTTATTAATTTTTTTCAGTTTTAAATTTTTTTACCTAGTAACTGTTTTATTATTTCCAACTTAAATTAAAATAATAATTAAAATTGTAATTGCTCTTTTACTTTTTATACAAAGCTTTTTTTTTTCCAATTACATTTTATATAACTTAAATATAATTGAATTACGAAGTTCATTTCGATCAACTCAAAGTTATATTTCATTAAGTTTGTGCCCAACGATATGCAACTGTATCATGAAGCTATTGTAACCATAATTTTTTAATTATGAAATACGGAATTATTTTATTCATTTTATTTAATATTTATACTTCACAAAATATTTGCCGCTCAATTTTAAAAAATTAAAAACGCACGTCACGCAAGTTTTCCTAAAAATTAAAAACCTATCTAACATAATATTTCAATATTCAATAACACTCAAACAAATCCGTTAACAATAGAAGAAGCTTCAAAAAAAAAAACTCTTTTTTTACGGGAAGTACGACAAACTATACTTATATTAATTTACAAACTGATCTGTTTGAGAATACTTGAAAAACAAATTGATTGTTTCTGAAAATTTTTAAAACTATTATTAGTTGTTAATAATTAGAACTCTTTAAAATATAAAATTTTGTAAAAAGAAAAAGATAAATCTTCGTGGTTTTTTAACGCTTTAAATTAAAAAACATACATAAACTCGTTGAATAATAATTTTATATCAGAAAAAAAATCAACCTAAATTTCTCTCGACGCTTCCCCAAAAAGTGACATTTTCTTTCTAAATTTACCATTTCTTCTTCTGTTCATCAAGACTTGCACCACCAGGTCCAAAAGCGACAACTAATAGTAGGCCACCAACCACAGACATGGTTTGGAAAAAATCGTATTTTAAAAAGTCCCGCATGGCTTTCCATTCTGGCACCCTCCAAAATGCATTTTCATACACATTTAAGAGCATTAAGAAAGTAATCATCACGAGAGCAGATAACTTTGTTTTGTAGCCTACAGTGACCAGCATAATTAGAATGGTACCAACCAAATTAAAGCAGATGTGAAAAAATCCCATATCAAATTTTAGAAGTGTGAGAAACATGAGTAAAAGAAGCACACGCCCAGTAAGCTGCATGTAGGTTTTCGGTTTATTGTGATTATCCAAACTGGGAACACCAGCAAACACACTTTTAGCATCCTGACGACATTCAGCAAGTAGCAATAGAAGTCCACCTGATAAAGCTAAACTCCTAATTTTAAAAAATAAAATCAAATAAGATTAAAATATTTTTACTCGTATACATAATTATAAAAAATAAATTATAAAATCTTTTTGGTCATTATTCACTTATTGTTCAAAATTTCAAAAAATAGTGTAAGCAAAATATATTAGTGTTAACTTTAATATGTTAGAGTGATCCATTCTGAAAAGTTTAGGTTTGTAGAATCATTATGTTTGTTCAAAACTATTAAAACTTTAAAAAAATTAAAACTATTAAAACTTAACATTTTTATTCATTTGTGCTCTGTATGTCTGTATGTTAAGTCTACGTAATTAATGCAGACATATAGAGCGCAACTGTTAAAGAAATGCAATTATCATTTACTACTAGTTTACTCTTTTTACTAAGGCATTGAAATCTTTTTTTGGTAATTAAAAAAGGATACAAATGATCATAAAAGGAATCCAGAGTTTATTCTTGGTTTAAAGTTAATTTTCATAGTAAAAACGAGCGATTTTTAAAATTTATTTAAAAACAAAATAGAAATTAATTTAAAAAAAATTGTATTAGCTCCCAAGATTTAACGAATCTTACCTCATGAAAAATTTGACATCAGTAAAAACTTGATATGCTATTGTCTAAAATAAATAAATAACATCAATATAACAGTAATAGTGATAATAATAATAATAATAATAGCAATAATAATAATAATAGCAATAATAATAATAATAATAATAATAAATAAACCTAACTAAGTTAAGAACATTGAGGACTTAAAATATAAAAACATCTTTTGAATTATCAGAAGCATTACACCCCCTGTTTGTATAGGCATTTATTCACAAGTGTTCAGATTAACTCATTTGCCTCTTGGGCTACAGCCTTTATTCAGAGACCAAGAGTATTAACTACATACTCAAAGCATTACTTTTTATTGTTTTTTTTTAAACTTTAATTTAAAAACTTGATCGCTCAAAAAATGGTTTGATCTTCTATTGTTAATTTTTTCATTTAATCTAATCAATGTAGTTCATTTAATCTATGTGGATCTCTGAATAATTTTAACTGATGGAGTTTACACAAACAACTTGTTTTTTTTTATTATTAACTCAACACTGACACCAAACAAGCTGTTTACTAGGTAACATTGTACATAGATTTGAATTACTTTTGAAACTTTTCTTTAGAATAGAAGGAAAAATTGTTATTTTTACACATGAATATTATGAGTTCTGTGTTAAAAATTTTAAATATTATAAACATTTTTTTAGCAGGTATAAAAGATGAGATGCTATTCATTTTTTGTACAAAAAATGAACTGGATGACAAACTGAAATTATGACAGAACTAAAATCAAAACAGAAAATAAAATTATTTCATGTTCATAACAACTGATTAAAATATTGTAAGAACTAAAACTAAGCTGGAACCTAAAAAATTGAATTTAAAACTGGAACCAAAAAACATGCCACAAAATAAAAGCTATACTAATAAAAAAGTATATAATAAGTAGCCAAAAGTGTGTATGCACCCCCCAAAAAAACGAATTTTTGAACATTTTATCATAAAACTTTTATTTTATATAAACATTGACATAAATGTGTGTAAATTAAGTTGCAACAATATTTTCAATAGTTTCAATATTTCCTTTGAAGAGATTCTTGGATTATTTGCCACAATTCTTTTTATCAAATTTTTACCTCATTTGTTAATAATTTTTGGTCGACCGGATCTTTTGCAAGTCTCTAAACAGCCATCTTTTTCTTTTTTTAAAAATTTATTTGAACAGTTTGCTTACATACACCAACTTTTTCAGCAATTTGTCTTTGACTAAAACCTTCTTTATAAAGTGCATATATTGCACCACATTTTGTTGGTTCTAATCACTCATTGCAGCATCAAAATAAACTAAATCTCACTTATATTATTTCACATATATTTTGAATTATATTATTGTTATCCTTAAAAACCAAAAAAAAAAACCAAAAATAAAAAACCTTCAAAAATTAAAAAAAATTGGTTTTGAATAAAAAAAAAAAAATCGTTGATGGACTTACTTTTGGTCACCAGTGTACGTAGATGTTTGTTAAAGACTTAAAAACCTTGGGACTATTTTATCTAAAGACTCAAAGATCTGACTCCACTCATGGATTGGTTGTTGCTATACTTTATAATTGAGATGTAGAAAGTACTTACTTGTATGTACTAACAACCAGCCAGTTAGTGTACATACATTAACTTGGTTTTTGAGCCAAACAATTAACTAGTTAGTTTACATATACTAACTTGCTGGTTTTCTGCTCAGTCAATGTGATGAAACTACCGAAGATGGCTATATATATGTAGCCATCTTTGAAAGTTTCATCACAATTCATCACTATCAAAAAGAGCTAATCCTAGCCAAAAACCTGAGGTGATGTAACAGGACTCCTTGCATATTCTACTTATTTGTCAGTGGGTGTAGCAGTATTCCTTACATGTTCTATATAATTGTCAGTCAATGTAGCAATACCCCTCACGTTTTCTACCTATTAGTCAGTCCATGGATGTTAACTAAATAAATAAAAAAAATCCTAATAAAAACAGTATATAAACATTAGGAAAAAAAAAAAAATTGAATTAAAAACATTTAAAATTGCTATAGAAGGCTGTCACTAAAGGAAATATTTCTTGGAAAATAAAATGTTATATCACTTGCAACAGTAAAAATGTAATGTTGTTTTTAAAGTTTTTTTTCCAACTTTTTATTTTTTTTAAAACTAAATGAGAATTTTTAGTTATATGTACAATCAAAAGCATGATACATTTAACTAAAATTTTCTTGTTAGCGTTTGCATAACTTTAATAAAACATTTCAAAAGATAAGTTTATTTTAAATTTAGTTTATTTTAAACACAATTTTATTTTAGTGCTTATATATTTTCTTTTTTGTAAGGAGTTACTTTCTTTTTTCATTACTGTTATTATTATTTTTTAATATCTTTACAGTTTAAGCTTAGCTAGCATTTCTTTTTTCAGCGCATTTCTAAAATGTTTAAAAATCATTTAAATATCTTAACAGACGTGGTTAAGTTGTCAAAAAATTAAATCATTTGCATGGTCAGCAATAACGCTTGATTGAATGCCATTCCTGTCCAAGCCTGGTAGAACATGTGAGGAGTGTTGCTACATCGACTAACAAATAGATAGAACATACATATCAAACAATAAAAAAAAATTTCAAACTTTTTCCGGTCTTTAAATTTATTTTTTTGTTAAAAAAAAAACAAAGTTGACATGACAAAAAGATGACCAATCAAGAAATTATACATACATACATATATGGGTCATTCCAGCTCAATTCAATTTATGCCCGGCACCATGTCATCTCAGATTTTGATGATTTTTGTATACAAGCTTAAATAAATGAAAGAACATTTCACTCCAAATTTTAGTGTCTAACTCCTTACAGTCAAAGATATGGATACTAAATCCCAATGTTTTTTTTTACTATTTTTTTCAGCGCCGTTTATTTTTTAGACCAATTGCATAACACAATTAGCTTTAACTTATGAAATACTTGCTCAATAGTGTTAAAAATTTGTAGCGAACTTTTTTAGGGTGAGAAACTCAAAAATGATTTCTAAAACACTAAAAAATTAAAGCTTTAATATGAAAATTTAATTTAAAAATGGTGTAACACTTTTTATAGGTTTTCTGATGCTGCGTACAAAAAGTAGTATACCTTGAGATGCCTAAAAGATATGATCTTGAAATTTTTTTCCTTTGTTTCAATAATTGCATTGAAAGCATTGAAAGCTTTCAAAAAAAAAAACTAAGAAAAATTGTTATTTTATAATTAAAAAAAAAAATTATCTACTTTTATTTTTTGCATTTTTTTACAAAGGTTTTAGAATTTCAGGTACAGTTCTAATATATGAACTTGTTTGCATTTCACATTAAAGATCTTTACTTTATACAATATTTAATTTATTTTTATTTACAAATCTTTAAATAATAATTATTTTAAAATTATTTCTTACAGAACTAAAAAATATAAAAATATGAACTATAAAGAAAGATGTTCAATTGGAATAATAAATAAAGAAATTTGTCACAAACAAACATATGTGAAATCCAATATCAAGAAAGTTTCAAGTCTCGATAATGTAGAAAAAGACTTGATATTTAGTCACTCTGCATTGAAATTGATGAAAATAAAACTGTTTGCTTACACCATGAATATGTTTACTTAAAAGGTTACTCCACAATCCACATAAATTGCTGTGATCCATTTGAATTATACAATGGAAAAAGAAGAAAAGGTATTAATAATTAACTATAAAACTTTTTTTAAGTTTTTTTGTAGTTCTATATATTTGATTTTATTAGCAAAATACTCAATAAAGCAATAATTATCAATTATGTTTTAGGAAGATGTAAAGAGATTAGTTTACAACTTGTTAAAAAATTGAAAAACATTGGTATTAATGTTATTCCTGGAGAAAAAGATATGTCCATCATGAAAAATTGATATCATTTAAGGATGATGGACCAGGAGAACTGACATGCAGCCAGATTTATGAAGATAAAGATAATGAAGTTACTATAAATGAACTGTTAAAAAAAAATCTCAATTCTTCTTTGACAACTATGAATACAAGTCCTCTCAGATAATTTGCTGCATGATGTAGATATGGTATATCATGTGATGAAGTTAAAAATTAATTATATTAAAAGCAATATTTCTCATCAAATAGAAACTCTTCATTACTTTTCAGATGGGTGTGCCAGCCAGTACAAAAACTGCAAACACTTATAAATATATGCCACCATGAACAAGATTTTACTATAAAATGCACATGGTCTTTCTTTGCAACAAATCACAGTAAACCACCCAGAGATGGTATTGGTGGGATTGTAAAAAGACTAACTTCAATGGCTAGTCTTCATCAAACAACAACAAATCATATACTTGCAACATCTGCAGTGTTTTATTAAATAAATTTTATAAAAATGAAATCATAGGAATTAGTTTTTATTACATATCTTAGGAGCCAAACAAGATAATTCAAACTGAAATTGAGCAAAAATATGCAACTGCAAAAACATTACCAGGCACTCGCAGCTATCACAATTTCATTCCAATAAGTAATAAGTAACAAAAATTAGAGCTTAATTTGTTTCTGAACAATTAGAGTACTTGTTTGTTTCTAATTTTCAAACTGATGAGATTATTAAAGAATGCTTGTTTAATATAATCAATGGAGTGTTTGTATGTTTGATGCACGATAACAATCCATAGATTGGACTAGTTGATGATATTGGTGTTGAAAATAAAGACTTTCAAGTTAGATTCAAGCATCCATTTTACCCTTCAAGATCATATTGCTGGTTTCTAGAGATGATGTGTGCTGGGTTCCATCAACAAACTTATTGTTAATGATTAACATTCCAACAACTGTCACAGAAAGACAATACAAAATCAGTCAAATTGATCACCTAAGCATTAAAGGGATCCCTAACTGCCAAGACAAATTGTGTTCATATTAGAGAAAATGTTAAAAAAAAATTTGGGCTAAATTTTTTTGATTAAAACTATATAATTAATGCACATCACTAAATTTAAAATTCACGTTTTAAAATAACTAAATTA